GTTATTTTAATAGCTCAATGGCGCTGGGCTACCAGGATAAATTCTTGTGTACGTTGTACATTTGACCAATAAAGCGATTTCCTAATTCTGATTCTGTTTTGTCCTGTGTAAATCTGTTCAAAGTTAATGTTGCTTTAAGTCATATTGGAGATAGTATTCATGCATTCCCAATAATGATTCACTGTAAACGAAGCCTGTACATGGGTGGGGGTGTGTGTATATGTATATATATGAGTCAATTTTTATATGTTTATGTGTATGAATTAGCATATTATCATACTGATTAACATCTTTTCAATGTTAAACTCATTGAGTTTTTATTCAATTAATGGTGCCATATAAATATAAAGCTCTACTATTATACAACATCTCTCTGGGTTCTCTGGCTTCCTCCCACTGTCCAAAAACCTGCATGTTAGGTTGATTGGACATTCCAAATTGCCCTTAGGAGTGAGTGTGAGTTTGTGTGGTTGTTCGTCTTTGTGTGTCTATATGTGTGGCCCTGCGATGGACCATCCAGGGTGAACCCTGCCTCTTGCCCATTGAACACTGGGACAGGCTCCAGTCCCCCTGGCACCCCATTTGGGAATAAGCGGTTTAGAAAATGGATGCATGGATGGATACTATTAAACAACATTGTCACATTCTAAAAACATTTATAAATATCTATATCGAAGGTATAGCTAACATAAAGTTGTTTGACTGTTTCTCATCCTACTTTTTTACAATAAATTACAGTATAAGTTCAAAATATCAAAACAAAATCTCTTTCTACTATCTCTAAGAATAGTCCTATTATGCAGGGTGGTTCTGCCCTCATTCACTGTAATAACACATCAGCCCAGCAAATCCCTGTCGTTGCGGGGTGACAGACCATGCAGCAGAGGCACAGACCTGCACGGCTAAATAATTGAGTTCCAGGCTGGGTTTGGAGGAAGACTAAGCCTGTTATGGATCAGAAACCCTTCCGGCCCACACCCGCACAGGTCTCTTGCCTTTATTCAATCCAGGCTCAGATCAAAGGGACAGAACGTCTCACACACTTGATGCTTTAATGTTTTCTAATAATGACACATAACGATTAACTTGAGGGTTTGCAACCTTGAACAAATGTTGAGCAAAAAACCCGAGTCCGCTGAGGGTCAGATGTCCCACAAATCACTTTAACCTGTTATCAGTTTAAATGTCAGGCCCCGTGCCAAAATGGCTGAATGTCATTTCCCTTACAGCTCAATGCAGCCCACATGTCACACTGGATGGACTGATATTTACCGGTACACACAAACTAACAAAAAAATGTACTTATTAACTAATATGCACGCTGTGAATTCATACGTTCAGTTTTCTGCTCAACGTTGTATGTCTTTTTTAAGCACTCTGGGGACAACAATGTGTGTTATCCAGTCGT